AGAGGATACAGATAAACCAACAGTTCACTCGGAAACTGACAAAAAAAATTTTGGCGTGAAATACCCCATAAAATCCACACCAGACTCAAAGGTTCTGGTATGCATTTTGAGGGGAACTACAGTCATGGACAAAAATATTGGCACCCCTGCATTTCTGTCAGATGAGGCACCACTTGTGTCGGATTTGGCTTTTTTTTTTCTCCACTTTTTTGTTTTATACCAATACAAACAAAAGAAATAAACATGAGAATTCCTAAACATTTGTAATTGCAATGATTTTATGGGTGAAGTGTTGCATTATCTGACAGAAATGCAGGGTGCCAATATCTTTGGCCACGACTGTATATGCAACTTTGGGGTTTTGGATGTGCTACAGCAAAAGTGACATTTACAAAAAAAAAGAAAATAATTGATACAGTTCAAATTGCAGGCAAACAACATTTATTGTCAGCTCCAGCACACAGACCCCTCAAAGGTCTCCCAAATGACATAGCTGACCCTTGGAGGGGTCTGTGTGTTGTTTTTTTTTTCTAAGATGCCAGCAATGAAATGTCATTTGCTGGCAGTTTTGACATTTTTTTCCTTTGTACATGTCAGCACTACTGAAGCATTTTCTGTACATCACAGTGACGCGCCACATCACAGGCAGGATTAGAGCACCACCAAGCATGTTATTTAAGGGAATTTGGGATTTTTTTTTAATGTTTCACTTCTCCTGGCCAAATGGAGTTTTTACATTTTGTTTTCATTTCTTTATGCTCCCCAGGGCATTCAACCCCCCATTATATTTTGTGAGACCCCCTTGCCTATTAGCCCAAAAAATAGGCATTATTAATTTGACAAATTTGGCTCCTATTAATTTCAATGGGGTTCGGCATCTGAACTTCTTTGAATTTCAATGGTAGATTGACTTCTGTACAACCAAAGTGCCAATACATTGATTGAAATTTAGCTAGTCCTAGCCAGTGACCAGCTTAACATATTTTGTTGAGTATGTAGAGAATAGATTGTTTTGTTTCATGCAAACCTTTTTCTGTATTTTGAAATGTAAAATACAAAGTAGTTTCACTTACAAAAACAGGTTACAAAAAAAGGTTTAAAGAAAAGCTGAATGTTTATATAAAAGCTGTACTTGTAAAGAAGATATGTAATGAAATGTTCTCCTGATTCTTTACTTTATTATAACAACTCTGTTACTAAACATAATTTTATAAATTTAAAGCAGTGCCTGTAAAGAAGAATATAAGTACCGCTCCTGCTGACTCTGCCACCAAATGCTGCTCTGATTAGGAGGAATTTCTAGCTAAAGTCTATGCAGAAAACTACACTTCAGAGACTGTGGATTTCTTGTTGTACTCGCAGACCTCATTGGTTCCTCCCAATGACTTCTACCTCACTACTGTGTCTTATATTGATAAGAGAGATGGTGGAAAGAACCACGGAGTGCTGGAGGGAGCACAGGAGATCAACACCCCTGATTGTGTTTATTTCTGTATTGACTTCAGATGGTGATTCCTCTCAAACAGAGCGTTGTTTGGTGTCACGGTCAACAGGATAGGTAGATATTTATATCCTTGTTTACAGGTACAGCTTTCATTTTAAAAAAAACGTTTAGCAAAGAAGTTGCAAAGTTTAATGAGGGATACATTTCATCACATGTGTAGCACTACCCCCTTGAGGGCTGCTGAGTAATTTACATTTTTTGTCCTGTCTTTCCTGAGCCTGCTTTGGAAGCCCAACCCTTGCTGACACCACCTTAGACCTTTGACTAGAAGAACCCTCTGCCTGCAATCATTAAATAAACTTGTGCACAGTTTAGAGTGAACTGATATTCTGGTTATATTGAGGTCAAAATGCAAACACAGTAAATCGACAAGAAAGTATGTGCATGGAATAACAGCTAATGCTCCTAAGGAAATTCAAATAAAGGTTGCAACACAAATCAACACAACACAAATCACTTCTATATATCCTGCAGTTCAGAATTTAAACAGTGATCCCAGCCCTGAGATACAGTATTTCTTTCCAAGTGAGCAGAAGGGGAAACACTTAAATTGGTAGGCTAACTCACATTGGGCTCTGGTGGTTCTAAGTTTGAGAAAAGCAAGAACTCTTACTTTAGATGGATCAATGTTCTTTTAAAGTTCAGTGTCCAATCTTCTGCATGCTCGATGGGGCCCTAGTTGGTGCACATGAAGATTTAATCTTTATTTATGTAAAGGTAGGAGTTCTTCAAGAGAGGATGAACAACAAGAAAAGGGAGTTTTTCCTTTACGTGATGTGGAATTTGAATGGTGTCTCTTTAGCACACCCAAAGTGAAATCTAAAATTAGGCTGAGATTAAGGAAAGGGGCAAAAACACACTTCTGTAGGGAATAGTTCCTGTTTAAAAGGATAGCAAGCTACAGTGATAAAGACGTTCCTTGGCGAATGGCACAAACTGGAACTGAAGCACTAATACAACTTGACCCACAGGTGCACATTTTGCAGCCGGCTCTTGTGATTTTATGTTTTGAAAGTGTAATGATTAGTAGACCGCAAGGCAGGATAGGACGGACAATCTAAGTCTTAGCACATGCAACATGTGAAACAAAGAATGTTAAACTGAGAAGAAAGTAACTGAACTTAGCAAAGTCATTTGCAACTTAGATGATTTGGGTATGGAGCTCTCTCACCCGATCTGTGGACTTGGTCAGGTAGCGGAAAGACTCTCTGCAGATGGAGGGCCCCCCTGTGTTCTTTTGATTCCTACATCACAGATCACTCCAGATGACAGCACTCCAGTCCGTCGGCTCGCAGGATTGTCAGTCTGGCTTGTCAGCGGTCAGTGATTCCTCCTCACTCTGTGGCCTGGTCCAGCCTGCATCCCAGACATCCTCCAGCATCCCAGACAGCCTTCTCTTCACACCTGCTCTCCAGCTCTCACTGTCCACTTCCTGTCCTCGGGTTCCCAAGCTTCTGTATTTAACTGCTCCCACCCATCAGCTAGCTCCTCTGGGAAATGTAGTTTGTCAGCTCAACAATAAACAGTGAAGTCCTGCTATCAGCCTACAAGTCCAACAAAGATTTTCTTCAACAGAGTCTGTATAACTAAACTGCAGAACACTTCATTAAATGATTACCCAAAGTAAATTGCTCATCAGTAGCAAAATAAAGCTGGCTTTACACGAATAGATTTTCGAACAAACTTTCATTTGAATATCTGTACAAACATTCATATCAAAATCCTTTGTACACTCAATGACTGAATGCCGTATGAAACTAGTTCAACATTTTGTTGCTTTCAACATTCAGTTTTGGAATGAATGTGATTTCCTGAAGGAAAAACACATATACTGCTAGAAATCTGTTTCAGGAAAAAAGTTTCCATTTTGCTCCTTCAAATTTTCTCGTCACTGCGAATGGAAATTAATGTTAATTTGACCCCACAAACAATTAGAAAATCAAACAAATGTTCTTAAATTAATATTATTTTAAAGTAAATTCTATTAGTCTATAGCCAGCTTTAGTCATACGTTACAAAACAAGAGCAGTATTAAAAGGGATGAATATCAACATGTACATGCTAAAAAGAATTCTCTATGAAGCTATTGTGTCTCCATAAATAGTAGCATGTTAAATAATGCATTCAATAGCAGTAATAATGTTTATATATAGAACGTATTGCATGGAGTAGTTGTCTACTGTCTAATGACTGTCAATTACTGTGTAATATAATGCACATTTGGTATTAGTGAGTCAATAACCATTTAAATATTTAATGTTTTTTAAAACTATCTTTAAAGCAGAACTAAACTGAGCACTACAAGCTGAAAAAAAAATAAACTATTTAAAAAAAAAACAATTTAAAAACTATTCAGTTCAATTATAATACACAAGCAAACTCACTCATTCATTTATGTCTCCATGCTTTATTATGTTCAGACATTGTTTTAAAAAAACACTAGCATTCCTAGCTGTGACCATTATCAGAGCAGGTAATTCATATAGCATTTACTTCCTGGAATCCATCTGCCCTTAGGTCAGCCATGTATGCAGGAGGGTGTGCTTAGCTGAGAAAGCTCCTCCTCCCCTTTCCAGATGAATAAAAAAAATGTCCATGAAGAGTCCTGAGATGTATGACAACATTTTGGCCTAGGCCAGAAGCCAGGAAGCAAATGAAGAAATGTAACAGAAAGTTCAAAACAACTAAAAATAAAATACCTTCCTATCTATTTACTAATAGGGTTGAGCTTCATGTTCTAGTCGAACTTAAGTAGGATGTTTCGTACGTTCAGAGAACACACAAATGGTAAAGGCGTTCGGCAGGCTGTTCGTGCCACAATGCACTGTGCCCTGATAGTGCATTGTGATTGGCCAAAGCAATGCACCTGACCACAGGTCAGGTGCAAAGCTTTGGCCAATGACCGCACATAATGATGTCACAAGAGGGTGGGGGTGACCCCGACCCCTTGTGACGTCATCACAGTATTTAACCACTAGCCTACAGGGTACTTATATCCCCTTCCTGCTCAGGCCAGCTTCCAGCGCTGTTGCACTTTGAATGACAATTGCGCGGTCATGCAACACTGTACCCATATGACATTTTTATCATTTTTTTGTGACAGATAGATCTTTATGTTGGTGGTATTTAATCACCCCTGGGTTTTTTATTTTTTCTTAAACAAACCCAAAACCACTGAAAATTTTGAAAAAAAAAACGTCTTTCTTTCTTAGTTTTTGTTATAAAATTTTGTAAATAAGTGATTTTTCTCCTTCACTGATGTGCGCTAATGAGGCTGCACTGATGGGCACTGATAGGCTGCACTGATGGACACTGATAGGTGGCACTGATGGGCACTGATGAGGAGGCACTGGTAGGTGGCACTGATGGGCATTGACATGCATCACTGATGGGCACTGAAAGGCAGCACTCATATATGGCACTGATAGGCGGCACTGATAGGTGGCACTGATAGGCAGCACTGACTGGCACTGATAGGTGGCACTGACTGGCACTGTTATATGGCACTGACTGGCACTGTTAGGCGGCACTGACGGGCACTGATAGGCGGCACTGATGCACACTGATAGGCGGCACTGACTGGCACTGATAGGCAGCACTGACTGGCGTTGATAGGTGGCATTGACTGGCACTGATGGATGACACTGAAAGGCAGCTCAGATGGGCATTGATATGTGGCATTAATGTGCACTGGTAGCCACTGTTATGTGGCATTGATGTGGCACTGATGGGCATTGGCAGGTGGCATGGATGAGCACTGACAGCTGGCACTGATGGACACTGACAGCTGGCACTGCTGGGGCTACACAGATCATCAGGGCACACTGATCATCAGTGCCCTGATCATCAGTGTACATGTCCCCTCTGAGGAATGCCGATTACCGGCTCTCCTCTCAAGCTGTCAGCGTGACAGCTCGTGAGGAGAGAAATGCCGATAACTGGCATTTCCCTATTTACATGTGATCAGCTGTGATTGGACACAGCTGATCACATTACCGAGCAAACATCTTCGGCTCTTTCCGTTGATCGGTGATCCGCTGTGTCCAAGGGACACAGTGCACCGCCAATGACCGTGCTGCGCACTCCCGGAGCTGCGCATGCGCGGTTAGAATGGGAGGACTTCATATGACGTTCTCCCAGAATGAGAGACCCACCTTGCATCCGTCATTTTACTATATGACGGGCGGGAGGCAGCTAAGAACTGTCATCTGGGCACAACTGTCAGATGGTGGGAGCCAGCAACAAGAGCAGCGGGCATCATGATTGACGTTGTATCTACTTCAGGGGACTTTTTTTTTTTTTTTTTTTTTAATAAAGGACTTCTCAAAGAGTGTCTCCTGTCATTTTTACACTACGCTTTTTTTTTGTGAATGGGTAGCAGTACTATGCACCCCATGCTCATTCATATGGGGGGGCGGGATCTGGGGATTCTGATAACCCTGCCACCCACAGACCCCCACAACCACCAGCCACGGTTATCGGGAATAGACAATTGTCCATGGGGGGCCACCATGCCCCTAAGCACCCCCCATGTTGAGGGCACATGGCCTGCTATGGTGGTTCAGGAAGGGGGGGGGGGCGCTCGCTCATCCCCGCCCCTTTCCTGACCTGCCAGGCTGCATGCTCGAATAAGGGTCTGGTATGGATTTTGGGGGGGACCCCCACTCCACTTTTTTTAATTTTGGCATGGGGGTTCCCCTCAAAATCCATACCAGACTTGGTATACATGGGGGGGACCCCCTCATTTTGTTTATTATTTTTTAATTGCTGGGTAATTCCGGCAATTCTTTTTGCATTCAGCTGTCAGCAGAAAAAAACCTGCTGACAGCTTAAACATTAAAGAAAGTCATTGTGAGATGGGGAAACAGCTCTCATTGTTTGAATACTGCTTGTGTGGAGTAAATTAAATGTTTCGACTGACATTCTGCAGTTTAGCCACAAGATGTCACTGTTTTTCTAACACAGCCTCAGACTGCATAGATATTTCTATATTCATGAAGAGGTGGAGTTTTCACACAGAGTGGAGAGAGAACAGGAAGGAGAGCGAGAAGCCATGTTTTGGAGCATGGTGAATAAGGGGCCCTGTGAGCTGAGAATCTGATGACATCCAGGTGTGAAACCGTCCCTCCGTAACCAGAGCTGCAGCTAAGTAAAGCTGATAAGATTGCTGCCAGGAAGCTGATGAGATTGCTGCCAGGAATGCTGATGAGATTGCTGCCAGGAATGCTGATGAGAGCAGAGGAATTAAGCAACATATACGGCAAGACCGCATGCTTGTGAATGGGTAGTGGTACTATGCAGCCCATGCAGAGACATTTGTTCTGTTCAGAGTCACCAGTGGATGCAAAGCAGACCCGGGTTGGTAAGATCGTGCACACACCTCATTTCAGTGTTGGCGCCTTGAGACTGAGTCCAGGCCTATAGTTAGTTAGTTAGGGTCTCTGTTTGTGTCAGGCCACAAGTGTTGTTACTGATCATTGGAAGGACTCCACAACTTAAGGTGGCATTTCACATTGGAGAGCTGATAAAATTCTACAAACTCAAGCCAGACTGGCTTTTTGCTCAGAAGGAATACTCAGGCATGTGCTACAGGACCAGTTATTGGAGAGGGAATACTGTAGATTTGTGTAAGATTGTAAGCTGTTGTGCTGCAGCGCAGGCTAGCCCATACCATACACCCATACACTGATTCCTGCTCTTTAGGGTAATAATAGGTAAGGTGTGGCAGCTTAGTTGTGCCCGCCAGTAGGTAAATTACCGTATTTTCCGGCGTATAAGATGACTTTTTACCCCTTGAAAATCTTCTCAAAAGTCGGGGGTTGTCTTATACGCCGGTAACGGCATGCTGACACTTTTTAGGGGGGCGGCGCGGTGCCGCTGCCGCCCCCCCTTCCAACAGAAGGGAAACTAAGTACATGGGTGGGCAGGGGCTGCTGTCTCTTACCTGGCTCTGGTCCCACGACGATCCGGTCCAGGAAGCGCGGCTGCTCCTTCCTTTGGTTCGTCCACTGGATGTTCGCGCGGCTGCTCGGCTCCGCTTCCTCACCGGTGATTGGCCGCCAGAACTGTAGCTCAGGAAAGGCACACAGGCGGCCAATCACCGGCGAGGAGGCGGAGCTGAGCGGCCCCGCGAAAATCGAGTGGAGATGCAGGTAAGTGTGCTGTGCTTAGGTGCTGTTGCAACCACATATGCTGGCTGCAGCAGCACCGTACTGGAACAGGGGTCAGCAAGTGTCAGTGGGAGGAATAGTGCCCCATCGTTGGTGTCACTGATACCAATGATAGGGCATTATTCCTCCCACTGACACCAACGATGGGGCACTTTTTCCTCCCCCCCACTGACACCAATGATGGGGCACTATTCCTCCCCCCCCCACTGACACCAACGATTGGGCACTATTCCACCCCCCCCACTGACACCAATGATGGGGCACTATTTCACCCCCCACTGACACCAATGATGGGGCACTATTCCCCCCCCACTGACACCAATGATGGGATACTATCCCCCCCCCACTGACACCGATGGGGCACTATTGCTCCCCCCCCCCACTGACACCAATGATAGGATACTATTCCTCCCACTGACACCAAAGATGGGACACTATTCCACTGACACCAATGATGGGGTGCTATTCCCCCATCGTTGGTGTCACTGATACCAATGATGGGGCATTATTCCTCCCACTGACACCAACGATGGGGCACTTTTCCTCCCCCCCACTGACACCAACGATGGGGCACTATTCCTCCCCCCCCCCCACTGACACCAACGATTGGGCACTATTCCACCCGCCACTGACACCAATGATGGGGCACTATTTCACCCCCCACTGACACCAATGATGGGGCACTATTCCACCCCCCACTGACACCAATGATGGGATACTATCCCCCCCCCCACTGACACCAACGATGGGGCACTATTGCTCCCCCCCCCCCACTGACACCAATGATAGGATACTATTCCTCCCACTGACACCAAAGATGGGACACTATTCCACTGACACCAATGATGGGGTGCTATTCCCCCCAATGATACTAATCATGGGGCACTATTCCTGCCACTGATACCAATGATGGGGCACGATTCCTCCCACTGACACCAATGATGGGACACTATTCCTCCCACTGATACCAATGATGGGGCACTATTCCTCCCACTGATACCAATGAGGGGACACTATTCCTTCCACTGACACCAATGATGGGGCACTATTCCTGCCACTGATACTAATGATGGGGTGCTATTCCTCCCACTGACACCAATGATGGGGCACTATTCCTGCCACTGATACTAATGATGGGGCACTATTCCTGCCACTGATACCAATGATGGGGCACTATTCCTCCCACTGACACCAATGATGGGGCACTATTCCTCCCACTGACACCAATGATGGGGCACTATTCCTCCCACTGATACCAATGACGGGGCACTATTCCTCCCACTAATACCAATGATGGGGCACTATTCCTCCCACTGACACCAATGATGGGGCACTATTCCTCCCACTGATACCGATGATGGGGCACTATTCCTCCCACTGACACCAATGATGGGGCACGATTCTTCCCACTGGTGTGCACTGGAAGAGGGGTAGTCTTATACGGCGAGTATAGCCCAAACACTACATTTTAAACAGGAAAAGTAGGGGGTCGTCTTATACGCCCAGTCGTCTTATACGCCGGAAAATACGGTACTTCACTTTCTACCTTCATCCATCAGAAGGCGCTGTGCTGTGCAGCACAAGGGTCTCAGCCTTTGGGCTGGGTATATGTAAATTTATTATATGTTTCCAGCATTTGTGGTTGTGTTTATTTGCCACATCTAAGTAAAGTTCTGTTGTGGCAAAAGCTGGTGTTGGGGTTGCTTTCCTCGTTCGTGACTTCACTGTATCCTGGGGAGCCCACCTCGGTACACAGCTTACATTCTCACTACTAAAATACCACAATACTTAATAATATAACTCATGCGGTATTTTAGTAGCTGTGTGGTAAGATACTGCTTAGTGAATTGTCCCTGTTCGAAGTTCTCGGTCAAACTTTTGGTAGGTTCAAATGTCCGACTGCGAACTGAACAGGGGGGTGTTTTCAACCCATCACTATTTACTAGTGCTAGCAACATAAGGATTAAAACTGGTAAATGCTGATTCTTAGAGTTTAGTTCCGTTTAAAGAGGTGCTATTACTCCTGTAATGCAGGCATATTTTATCCTGTATGTAATGGATCACTTCTATTTGCTGTCTTACCTAAAGCAATGAATGTCACCATTTCTAAGGAAAAATATAAATTGAAGAGCCACACCACTGTTAAAATGTCCAGATAAGACTTTATTCCAAAAAAAGTAAGGGGGACAATGTTCCTATTAACTGGAGTAAAGAGACACTGCCATCTTGACCTTTTACTTTTAGAGCTCCATAACATTTCAAGATGGGAATGTTGAACACGACCCACCCTGTCTCACCTTGACGCACTATGTTGTCCACACATGCAAGAATTCCCTCTCATGACCAACAGGTCAGGTTTCCAGACTAACCCAATCCTGCAACAGGCTCCAAGATAGAGGCCAAACTGCAAAGTAAGGGACATAAAGCACACCAGTCCCCCTCTACCATCAAAGCTGCCAACTCCTGCCACAGTCACCCACGTGGTAACTGGCTGGCTCCTATATATACTGTATTACAAGTGTCCCAATCCAGAAGGTTGAATGTGTAGTTCACTTATGTGTATTTACCTGCAAGGGTGAACCTGGCACACTTGTTCTGCATCAGCTCAAGGCTTCTTAGCCCCAGTAGTCATGTTCTTGTGATACGCCATAGTTACACTTTGTTTTCCTATTTAGAACACTCCTTCCCAGTAAATGACACAAACAGCTTCTTCCATTAAATTTATTTTTTTTAATTGTAAACTTGAAATGTTAACAGGAACATATTACATCGCTATTCTGTACATTTTCCCCACACATGTAGAACTGATTGTGCTTTACTCTTGAG